TTGGGAGGAACCAGGAAAGCATGTATTTAATATAAAAACAAACCTACCTCTGAAAAAAACAAAACCAAAAAAACAACAACAAAAAAGGCAGCTTTACCTTGGCCCAGAAAGTGACCTTGCGGAAGAGGAGGGAGCTCTCTGTAGCCTGCCAAACCCGTGATCAGCTGCAGGGCCCCAGAAGCAGCACAGCTGGGGTCACCTGCCCTCCTGGGAGGCACTGGAAGGCAGCGCTGGCTCTGCGGGCAGGCAGGTGCTGCTGGATTTGTCCTGTGCTGCCTGACTGCTGGCAGCGAGGCCACAGGGCAGTGCCCTTGGTGGGGCAGAGACAGAGAGCTCTGGGGTGGCAGGAGGCCAGACAAGGGGCTGGGACTTGCTCTGCCACTGCTACAGGAAGCCAGAGAACCAGAGTCACCTCCTCCTCCTGCCAGCAGTGGGACAGTGGAGCACAGCAGCACGGTGCTGAACAACGGTGGGTGAAGCGGGGACCCTGAGCTGAGCTAGCAGAGGTGGAATCACAATTAAATGCTAAGCAGGTGCCAAAGCTTGGCACTGGCAGCATCAGCTTGGACATCATCCTTCCTCGCAGCTGGATAGCTGTCTCCATCACAGGCACCTGCAGTGAGGCCCAAGAGATGTTCAGATGATGCCAGGAGAAGATGTGAGCAGAGCCCAAAAGTCATGTCTTGCAGCGGGGCAGTGGCTCGTGCCACCAGCCCACAACGCCCAGCAAGGACTTCTCACCTTAATTCAAGAGAAGGAACTTTCAGAGCTATCTGGAAACACCTTGCAAAAGCAAGTCTCTGGTCAACAAGGGAACTAGGGAACTTAATGGCATTTCATCCTCAGCCAGGTAATTAGAGGCCAAGATAATTACAGGATGGTCCCTGTAGCTATAGACCAAGCACAGATCCTGACCAACACAGTGGATCTCTCAGCTTTGTTAGTAAAGAATTGAGCCTGTGCCCGTCGCTGAGTGTTCAGAGACAAACTGACTCGGTGCTTTTTGAGAGAAGATAGCCAGTGCCATTGACAGAGGTGTTGATGTAACGCATTCAGTCATCTCAAAGGCATTTGACATAAGAAGGCCCAACTTTTTCATTAATAAAATACAATGATACCAAATCACCATGGTGCACGCTGAGGGGATTAAGAGCAGCTAAGTGACAGCTCCTGGGACAAGAACCATCCTGGGGTGGGCAGAGTGTCAGCCCTTGGAGAGAGGGGGATGAAGCCACTGGCTGCCATCCCACAAGACAGCCAAGAAATGATGTTACACTATTTCAGATTTTTTTTTTAATCTGGAAGTAGGAAGAAAAAGAAATGGCCACTGCAAGTCTCTGCAGGTACACAAAGACTGGGAACTACCGAAGGTGAGCAGTTCCTGCCACAGAGGGACTTGGCTTTGCCTGGCAGGCTTTGCCTGTAGCAACTCTATACCTGGGCAGACAGAAAGGATCCCTGAGGATGCAGGTCCCTTTCTTCCAGAGGGAAAAGCAGCTTCCTGAGCCTGTGACCCCGGAAGGCATATGGGGTCATTGGGGCAGCAGCATGGCCAGAAGGACCAACACTGATTTTCTGATGTATGAGGAGGAAAGTCATGGGAAAGCACAGAAAGGCCACTGGAACTGATCGCTCAGGCCAGGAAGGTAGCTGAGCAATTGCAGAGCTCTGGGAAGGGTCAGGGAACAAGTAAAGCTGAGGTAATGAGTTGGATGAAGGGGCCAGAGCTGCTTAAATGAGAAATACCTTCCTGCAGAACATGCCGACAGGGGCTAACACTGAGGTCAGGCATTTGGAAGAACAGAGGGGCCAAAGGACCACGGAAGCTGGTGGCAAACAGACCTAACAGACAAACAGACCTGATCCTCCCGGGCTTACAGGAGCCATTGCTGGGAGCGAGGGCACAGTGAGCCACGCCAGGAAATCGCGACAGAGCGGGCTGTGTCACAGATCAGTGACATCGCCCAGCCCGCTCCCACGCCCTGGTATCGGGGTCCACTCTGGCTCAGGTGGGGTCCCCACTCACACCTGCCCCCCTCCAGGGAGGGGATGCTCCTGCACCGAGGGCCTCAGTAGTGCACCCCAGCCCTCCCACTGCCCCCAAAGAGCAGAAGGGACAACCTGTGCCACAGCCACTTGCGTCTGCTGCTGCTGCTGCTGCAGGAGCTGCTGAAGGAGCTGCATCTGGTGGTGGGCAGAGAGGGGCATTCCCAGGTCAGGCAGCTGGGCAGATGAGGGCAGCAGCATCTTGGGTGACGCTGTCAGGATATCTTCAGGGTGGAGGCGGCTCTGCAAAACACCGGTGTTGAAAGTGTGATCTCGTGCCCCTTACCTCGGTGAGCTGCCAGCCACACAGGGGCTGTGGCACAGAGCAGCCCCCAAAAATATCCAGGAAAGAAGTTGCTGCAGTCAAAGTAAATGCACGCTTTGCTGGGGGTGCTGAAAAACTTTGAGGACAGTATTTTTTCAGTTTTGATAAAAGCCCAAATACTTTTGTAGAAGATTCCCGAAAAGGCTGACACTTACCATGGGAATTTCTACTCTATAAAAAAGGAGGGGTTTTTGTTTTGGTTTGGGGTTTTTTTTTGTGGAAAAAAAATCCCTATCTGCTCTGCCCCAGACACTTTCCACGTGGCTGCACATAGCTGAGCCTCGGCACACTGCTCTCCAGGAGCGCCCCGGGCCCCAAGCCAAAGGGCAGCCCTGCGGCGGCAGATGGCTTTGATCCAGGAGCTGGGGAATGCTGCACAATCCCTCCTGATCCCCGGGCCCCCGGGATGCACACCAGAGCCGTGGGGCCGAGGCCGTGCTGTGCAGGGACACACGCACCTTGGCGTCGGCATAGGCACTCGCCTCCTTGCCCACGGCGTCGAGGTCGGTCACGCCGCGGCTGAAGTCGAGGATGTCGGCCCCGGGCAGTGGCAGCTCCACGGCATCGATGTCCG